CCTTGATCTCTCTGTAGCCACTTCTGGCCTCATATTCTCAACTCTCCTGCCCAAGCCTTTCACCTGTTGGAATTACAGCCCTGGATCAGCAGACCTGGCTGCAGCCTAAGGAAAATAAGGAAAATCACTGGGTTTGGGTTCTGTTTTTCTAATCTGCATTTCTGCTGAGTCCTCTCTCCTAAGTCTTTTCATTATAAGGTGGATGGTCCAGTTGAAATGGACCTGATGTGGAGGTTCGTTCCTCTATCACCTTCTCCAGGGAGCTGAATAGAGAGAAGCCCATACCCCACCGGCTTCCCTGTGCCTCTCTCCCTCGGGTCCCCTTATAGCCTGCTGAGTTTAGGAGGGGATGATCAACAAGCCTGATCTGAAAACAAGGTAAAGGGTGATTGGATGGAGGAAGAGCAGAGACCAGTGGGGACACAGCAATGGGCACAGAGCAAAGGGAGGAGTGCCTTCCAGCTGTCCTGACCTCTCCTCACCGAGGGTGGAGGGTGGGGGTGGCAGGGTTGCTTCTGCTGTCTTCACAAATGAAGACCAGAGCTACCAGAGTGAGTTTCTCCAGATCACAGAGATTAGACCAGAGAACTGGGAGGCTCTGTCAGGAGGGCAGAACTATGTATGCAAGGGCCCAAGGGTGGGTTCTGAATTCAGGTCATAAAAATCAAGAGTAAAGTAGGGTGTGTGTGTGTGTGTGTGTGTGTGTGTGTGTGTGTGTGTGCATGCCTTTAATTCCAGCACTTGGGAGGCAGAGGCAGGCAGATCTCTGAGTTCAAGGCCAGCCTGATCTATAGAGTGAGTTCCAGGATAGCCAGGGCTATACAGAGAAACCCTGTCTTGAAAAATCCAAAAAGAAAGGGGTTAGAGAGATGGCTCAGAGGTTAAGAGCACTGGCTGCTCTTCCAGAGGTTCTGAGTTCATTTCCCATCAACCACATGGTAGCTCACAACATCTATAATGAGATCTGGTCCCCTCTTCTGGCATTCAGGGATACAAGCAGGCCGAACACTGTGTACATAATAAATAAATAAATCTAAAAAAAAAGAAAGAAGAACCAAAATAAACAAATAAAAAAATCAAGAGCTAATAGAGGTCTAGAAAGGGAAATTGATTTGCCCAGAGCCACATAGCCAGGGTAAATGCAGAGAAAGCCAGTGCAGTAGTAATGACCATTGTTTATGATTTCTGTCTTCCCATCTACCTCTGCAATGACCTTCTGCCCTTCACCTTCAATCTTGGTGATGTGCACATCCTCAAGTACCTCTGAATTTTGAGCTAATGACGTTCAGCCTGTAACAACCTATCAACAAAGATTAACCAGCCTCGTGACCTCTGAATGGGTCGTGCCCAGAGGAATGCAGTAGCTATCTTCCCTGCAGAATGCAGTAGCTACATTCCCTGCGGGGAACACAGTCAAGAGGAAATGAGGCTAGCCTGCAGGACTGGCTCAGCCAGATCTCATTTCCTTTCTGACAAGGTAAGAAGTTCAAATTCTCATTCTCATTCTCCCTCCCTCCCTCCCTCCCTCTCTCTCTCTCTCTCTCTCTCTCTCTCTCTCTCTCTCTGATAGGGCCTCACTGTGTCTCAAACTCATGGCGATCTTCTACCTCAGCCTCCTGTGTGCTGAGATTACCTGTATGAGCCATCACACCTCCTCATTCTGGTCTTTAACCCAGACCTTACAAGTTGCCAAGGCCTGTGTTCACTGTGGTTGATGGGACCCACTTGGTCATTGCCCTGCTTTCTAAAGGGCCCTTAGAACTTCTCTACCTAGCCAGGCAGTGGTGGCGCATGCATTTAATCCCAGCACTCGGGAGGCAGAGGCAGGTGGATCTCTGTGAGTTCGAGGCCAGCCTGGGCTACAGAGTGAGTTCCAGGATAGGCTCCAAAGCTACACAGAGGAACCCTGTCTTGAAAAAACCTTTTCTACTTTTCTTAGCAATAGCAATGCTAGAATCTTTTGATCGCACATTTGGCTTTGCTCCTAGCACACATTCCTTGGACTCTCCTTCAGGACAGCCATGTCCTTTGTTCTAGTAAGGTGACTCCTGGATGGAAGCTGGCCACTAGGAAGGAAAAAAAAAAAAAAAAAGCATGAGGAGAACCTAGGAACTTGCAGCCTCCCCAGCCCAGTCACACCAAGAGTGATGACGGGCTAAAGGTTTGGCAGATCACAAACGGTTCACATTTGTAATCAGCATCACAAGATGAAGACTCCCCAGAAGAACAGTGTTTGGGTGAGCCTCTGGAGAGGTAACACAGGGAGGTGTCTGGGGGTGCATTCAGAGAAGGTACAGGGTGTTAGCTTCTACCGCAGCAGCCGGCCTCTGCCGCAGCAGCCGGCCTCGTCATCACCCGTCGCCAGGTGCCTTTCCACCATCAATTGTGCGACATGTGCACCCCGTAAAAGTGCCCGCCAGGCACGGCCCGCCAGGCACGGCCCGCCCTCTTGCCTCGTCCACCTCTCTTGCCTCTTCATCCCTCTTTGCCTCCTCTTTTCTCTCTTGCCTCTTGCTCTTGTCTCTCTTCTTCCTCTCGTCTGTCTGTCTGTCTGTCTCTCATGTCCCTACTCCGACGTGGCCTTTTGCTTTTTCACCCTCCCCTCCCCCCATAAACCTCTCACGCTAACTCATGGTGTGTTTGCTTACTGGTGTACCTTGGCAGGGCCTGCCGAAAGGTACCCACTTTGACTTTTTTAAATTTATTTATCCTTTCATGGAGTTCCCCTCCCCTTCCCACAGGCCTGCCCCAGTGTGTGTGTGTGTGTGTGTGTGTGTGTGTGTGTGTGCATGTGTGCAAGCATGAGAAGGCCAGAGGAGGACACTGGGTTTTTTCTTTTCTCTATCCCTGAGGTTACAGCCGTGCCTGGCTTTTTATGTGGATTCTGGGGATTCAAATTCAGGTTCTCAGGCTTGCACAGAAAGCCCTTGTCCATGGAGCCATCTCCCCAGACCCAATATCCTTTATTACTACCTCTATTGATTATGATTGAACCCAGAGTCTCACGCACGCAAGGCAAGTGCTCTACTAAACAATTTCAACAGCGCCCTTTCTGTATTTTTCAGAGTGTCTCACTAGTTTGCTCAGGCAGGTCCAGAATTTTTGTGATCCTTCTTTGTCAGCTCTGAGTGCCTAGGATTACAGGCCTGAAGTACGAGGCCTGGATCGAACGATCATTTTATAATAAACTGCAAATGTATGCTTCCCCGAGCCCTGTGAGTCATCCTGGCTAAGGAGTTGCGGCTGCCTGCTGCACAGGTCCTGGGAGTCTACAGCCAGCTGGTCAGGATAACAGGTCACAACTGGTTAACCTGTGATTGGTGCTGGAGGTAGGGCCATCTTGTGGTCGAGTCCTTAGCCTGTGGCATGCAATTCTGGCTCCAGGCAGACGGTAACAGAATGAGTTACACTCGAATCATCCTCCTGAAGTGCCTGTTGGTAGGGAGAGTCCATACAGCTGCTATCAGATGTCGAGTGCTGAGAGAAGTGATGTGTGAGAAGGAAAATACAGCCTTTTCATCAGACTCGGTAAGAACACAGTCAGAAGACCCAAGAACATCATGAATGAAGGTCACGTCTGAATATTTCCCATGGACACTTAGGCCAGAAACCACTGAAGATTCCTCCAGTAGCGCAGCTAACCCAGATGGCCTTGGGGTGGCTAAAGGGTGCTCAGTTTCCTAGCCTCATTCTTGTAGGACAGCAAGAACAGTCTCTCCTGTGCACTGACTCCCTTTGGCCTGTTTCAAGTCAAGCCAATCAGCCGGTGGTGCCTGACACACGGGATTCAAGAGGACACATCCGGGATGTACTGTTTCAAGCACCTTGGTAACAACTGAGATGCTTTTCTAACAGTCCCAGGGCAAGAAGATATTCTAGAGGCACTGGTGGGCCTGGAGGGATGGCTCAGTGGTTAAGAGCACATACTGTTTTTGCAGAGGACCCAAATTTGGTTCCCATCAACCACTTCAGGCTGCTCACAACCTCCTCTAACTCAAGCTCAAGGAGATACGATGCCTTCTTCTGGCCTCTCCGGGCACCTGCATGCATGTGTACATAACCACACAGTAGAACCACAATTCAAAATAAAAACAAATCTTAGAAAATGAAGGAGACACTTCTGTCCCTTCCTTTAGGGATCACACTGTCGTGACAATGCACCCCCAGTGAACTGGAATTTCCTCAGGAATCTCCTGCTGGGAGGAAAAGCTAACTTGTCAGCCAGAGAGGAAACTGTCTCCTAGAAAGAGATTTCCCACACTGCTAGCATCTTGTTAGATGACAAGTGTAGCATGAATTTTAATACCACTGAATACCACACAATACCACTACAGTGGAGAGACTGGAGCCAAGGACAATGGTGATGGGCAGGACCACTCCTGAGTAAGGACAGTTTTGTAGTGCGTATCCCCTGCCCTCTATTTAAACCTAAACATGTTAGGATGCTAAAGACCTGGGGGAGGGGCACAGGACTTCTCAAGTACCCACACTGAATAAATCTCCATTTCCTGCTTTTCACTATGACTTGTTTAATTGGCTTACTGAGGACTGGTGGCACTCAGGTTCTGATCCCCCAACGCCAGTAACACTGGTTTAAAGCCACTGGTTAAACTATCTGGGCTGGCAAGAAAGTCTACATGGAAAAACAGCATGGAACCTACACTGTGACTCCCTGGCACAAACGGCTCTCGGATCCACCCTTAACTATCCTGACATTTGTTGAGAATTGCAGACTGTGTCAGAAAACTGACAGGGACCATTTTATTTTGCACTGGGAATAGATACTATGGAGTGAGTACCTGTGAGGTATTGGTCATGAGTTTAAACATATCATCTCTCCTAAAACTGTCTTTACACGGTATCATTCCCACTTACAGATAAGAAAAATGAAGATTCTAATGAGGAAACTTGTGACTTCTGGGAGGCATGTGTAGCCTGCCCACCCCCCTTCCCCCCACCCCCCACTACCCAAACCCTTTAAATTAGAAGAGAAACCACAGTTACAAAGATAGGGTCATTTATTCATGTTATATTACTGCATTTCAAAGGCAAAAATACAGTTGTCTGTTCTGAACATCAAGGTCAGAGACAGCTCCCCACCCCCGCCCCAGCCCCATTGGTAAATACACACATTTGCATACATGGGATGTCACAAAACATACACAGCATCACAGGTGTCTAAAACAGCCCAGTGGCCAGTGCAGACCCTGCCAGGCTGAAGGCCAGCACAGCATTGCCTTTGCCTTCCTGTGGCACTGATCTTTCCCAAAGGCCACTCTACATAGGTCACCAGCAAAATTATAGACAGAGAAAGGCACAGCACGTGACCTTCACCGGGGTCCGAGCCCCCAGGTGAAGGAAATGCTCCCCGACTCCTCAACCCTCCAGCCCCCAGGGAAGCTGCTGAGGACGGCATCTCCTGGGCCAGGCAAATGCCCAGGCCCCACTGTCTCTTAGTTGTGCCCCGGGCCTGAGGTGCCCCAGAGAATGCTGGAAGGTGGAGGGACGGGCCACACCATTCCCCTTGGTTCTGAGAATGAACCAAGCCAGGAGGACCAGCACAGGGAAGAGGCAGTTTCGCTTTAGGAGTAAAGGAGGTGACACAGAAGACCCCACTCAGCATGTCTCCCTTCCTTTAAGGCACTTGGGAAAAGTCAGGATCTGGGGACAGGAAAAAAGTCCTCTCCGTTTCCCCAAAGCCAGTCTCCGTTTTAATGGCCTTCTAGAGGCACGGGGAATTGAGAGAGCACAGACCTTACACAGCCTGCCTGCTTTGGCTGGGATAATAGTTTCTAACCCACACATTAAAAGAAGCTTCTGGAAAAAGCAGCAAGTTAGACACTGTGATGCTCAAAGCAATAAAGGCACAGGTAAGATGAGGGCCATCCCTCTGCTCAGCATCTACACTCAGCTGGAGACCAGACTGTAATCTTAGGACCTCTACCCAGGCTGCACTTTACAAGCCCTCCCAGCCTGATGGTCTAAATGCTTCGGGTTATCTCACACCCCAGCACTGTACATCAGCACAGGTGAGTCACCCCAGCACTGTACATCAGCACAGGTGAGTCACCCCAGGCACTGTACATCAGCACAGGAGAGTTACCCCAGCACTGCACATCAGCACAGGTGAGTCACCCCGGCACTGTACATCAGCACAGGTGAGTCACCCCGGCACTGTACATCAGCACAGGTGAGTCACCCCGGCACTGTACATCAGCACAGGTGAGTCACCCCGGCATTGTACATCAGCACAAGTGAGTTTGTGAATGACCCCGTGGGTTAGATGGAGGAACGGGAGCACCTGCTAAAACCCTGAGTGGCGATGAGGGGCTTTATCGGCACCAGGATTCTCAGGAAGAGCAGGGTGTGGGTTCCGGGGAACTTTCTAGACCTCTAATTAAAAGGCACAATCATGCTGGAGAATGCAGTCTGACCCTGAGTGCCCCAGGACATTTTGGGGGAGAAAGCAAAGGTGTGAAAAGGGAGAAGGAAGAGCAGGAGGAAGGAGAGAACTGCGACTTTGGTGGGTCAGGGAGTGTGGTACTAGGCTGAGGGATGGTAAACAAGGACTGCTGAGATTTTCAACCCCACAGCCAGGGCCTGAGGGGTCAGTTCTAGGAGGCTGAGGGCCCCTCCACCCGGCCCCCCTGGGGGAGAGGAGGGAGAGTTCTGCCAGGGAGGCAGATGCTGTCTCCTGAGTTCCTGACCCGGAGGTCTGGCAGGATAATGCTGACCTGTATGCTTTGCCCTCATCAAGGGGCCTGAGGGTAATTTTGCTCTTTGTAAAACCTGGCCTGCCAGCCAAATCAGAGGCTCATTTGTGACCACTACAGCATACATTATTTTTCTCCCTAAAAAATAATCAATCCCTTCCCCACATTTAAAATACCACAAGAAAAATACATAGGAAATTCAAGTTTACATAGCATGCCTAGAAAAATAAATTGTCATGACTTAACACTCAATAGCTATTCCAATTTGGATCAACATAAAATCAAGCTATAGCATAATTAGAAGCACTCGATTTATTCTTTAAAACACTACAAACTGCTTCTTAAAAAACAAACAAATAAACAACCCCCCCCAAAACAAAACTTTACATTCAGAAATCAGACAGGGATCTGGAGACAGGTCATGTGAGTGGGAGTACCCAAGCTCCTGCTCTGAGTGCAAGCCTTGGAATCCACACACTAACAGAGTACCAAGCTCCAGGCTCAAGTTTTAAAATTTTTTTGCTAAGAAAGCACACACACACCGTGATTGTAATAGTTGCATACAATGAGAGGACATAGGACAGGGACAGAACATGAGACTGATTGAAATTTTGATTTTTTTTTTGTATTAAAAATTCAAGATTATCACATCAATCTGAATCCAGCAGCAGTCTCCAATTTGTCATGAAGTATAGACATCACTGATTAAAGCAAAGTTCTTACCCATTTCATAATCTAGCAGTCTCAGCAGTGGGAATGTGACTCACAGTCACTACGTTTTGATCTGTGTACAGTTCTGCCTCTTTGGAGACCACACGATGGACATGTCCAAGAAGCCTCCAAAGGCTGACCATTTTTACACTGATAAACACCTTGTAGAATTTCATCCAGTGCCGAGCCAGGCTGGGAGCAAATGTTACATTCACCCTGGGCATCTGGAAAGGTGTCTGAATGATAGCAAGGAAAACTACCATTCAGACTGTAACAAATGAGAGGGACCAGCCCAGTCGACGGGCAGAGACACACACTGGAGGTCCCTGGCCATTTTAAGGTCTCTTATTTGTTCCAAACTGCTATCTTGGTGTCCCGATGTCCACTGTGATTTTGGTATATAATGGGTCTCTTTGTACTGTCAACACCTTGTAGGCAAGTGAGTTCAAACCATCAAAGCGCATAGTTTCCTTTGTGTGCGCAATCCGGTCAAACCTACCAGGAGAAAACGTGCAGAGGGAGGGAGGGGTTAAAACGATTGTTAGGAAACTGGCCAATGTCTAAACACCTTCCCCAACCAACACCTTTGACCAGCATGGCTACCACAGATGGAGTACCTCACCTCATTGGAGGAACAGGGCCCTGTGCAAAGCCTCTGACTTACAGCCCGCCCCATTTGAGAGGAGGAAGAAGGAGGAGGAATGAATAGGAAGCTGGAAAGATGGCACTGGCCATCTACATGGTGGATCACAGTCCCAGAGGACCAGATGACCTCTTCGACCTCCAAGGGCAGCAGGCACACATGTAGTGCACACACTCACATGCACATAAAACACTCATATGCTGTGGGATGGTCTGTATGTCAAATTGCTCTGATTGGTCAATAAATAAAACACTGATTGGCCAGTGGCCAGGCAGGAAGTAGGTGGGACAAGGAGAGAGGAGAATTCTGGGAGGCGGAAGACTGAGGCAGAGAGACACTGCCAGACGCCGCCATGACCAGCAACATGTGAAGACGCCGGTAAGCCACCAGCCACGTGGCAAGGTATAGATTTATGGGAATGGATTAATTTAAGCTATAAGAACAGTTAGCAAGAAGCCTGCCACGGCCATACAGTTTATAAGCAATATAAGTCTCTGTGTTTACTTGGTTGGGTCTGAGCGGCTGTGGGACTGGCGGGTGACAAAGATTTGTCCTGACTGTGGGCAAGGCAGGAAAACTCTAGCTACACTCATATACATAAAATCAAATAAATCTAACACAAAAAGAAACAAAAAGGACCCACACAGAACATACCTCTGAGGATTGGGCTCATTTTTCTTGTCTCTTGAGTGTCGTATCATGCGACACCTTCCAACTACAGCATTTGGGCGTGATATAGACATGCCTTTATGAACTATTCTGCGAAGAGTAAAGGGACAGTCATTACCATAGCTGTCATAAGGCTTGGGTTTAGTAGGCCAGCTGCAAGATGGTGGACTCATCCATGGATGAGCTGTTCACTAAGCCTAACCCCTCAGCATCTGCTGGGACACAGCCCGGGAAGACTTTAGTTAAAATTTACACTCCCTCCCAATATCCCGAGATGACAGATTCTGTGAAGTGTAGTGTTTGCCTCATTAAGGTCCCAAATCAAAGCACCAAATATCCAAGTTAGGGGAAGACCAGCCAATCTGGATGAGTTGCACGTTCTGGCAATATTTCCCCTGTGGGTTCGTGTTAGCGTCTGGCATACAGTAAGTAGATGCATAAAGCCTGTATCTCTTGGAGAGCGACTCCATCCATGTACTACCCATCTTTCTAGTCCTGCCCCCAATGTCTCCTCCCTCCCCAACCCTTCTGACCACTCAGGCCTGTGGTACACCATCAGCCCTGGGTCAAGGTTCTTAGCTTCTTCCCTGCCGGATGGGTCTTGCTGTGCTCTGTGTGCGACAGATACTCACGTGTGCATGCTTGATAACCAGCTTGCACACTCTAATACTCAAGTGTTTTCCAAGACCCTTATAAGGATCTGGAGCCTTGGCAAGTTCTCACATAGCGGTAACCTTGAATGGCATGGATAGTGTTCTGACAGACACCTTCTGTTAACTCATCAAATGTTTCCCAATTCAGGTAATGAGTTCAGACTGGCTCCCAGATGGGTTTTGCCACCTGCAACCTACAGGCGACAGGTCTGCCAGTTTTTAAAGTGCCTGGGGATGTGGATGTGGTAAGACTGGCCACAGTATAATGAGCATGGACAGGTTCCACACAAGCTCAGAAAGGGTTTCTCTGTGTTGCTCTGGCTGCCCCGGAACTCACTCTGCAGACCAGACTGGCCTCGAACTCACAGAGATCTGCCTGCCTCTGTCTCCCAAGTGCTCCACCATGCCCGGCTGATGTATTTTATTTTTAAATATGTACGTGCATGTGTGCATGTGTGTGCATGCGTGTGCACACATCTGAGTGCAAATGCCTGCAGACTCCAGAAAAGGGCATTGGATCCTCAGGAGCTGGAGTTACAGGCAGTTGTGAGACACCTGAGCCTAAGATGGGTGCTGGGAACAAAACCTGGGTTCTCTGCAAAAGTGGTATGTGCTTTACCTGCTGAGCCACCACTCCAGCCCTGCTCTGTCTTTTCTTATTTGTGGTTAAAATATTCCAAAATAAAAACATGGCACAAAGATTCTGTGGGAAGAAACTTGCTTTACACCAAAAAGGAACTACAGTGAGGTGCAAGTCTTCTTTTCAAAGGAGACCTTCAAATCTGGGGCCCCTCCCGTCCCCATGTACCATCTCACTAAAGTGCTGGGGTCCCAAGTGCACTCACTGCCACATCTGGCTTTGCATGGCTTCTGAGGTTCAAGCTCTCTTGCTTGCAAGGGAAATGCTTTACCCACTGGGCCATCTCCTTGGCCTTTCATAGGGGACACAGAAAGCCTGGGTAGGAAGTCAAAGTCAACCTGCCCCTCCATCCTACGCCATCTTACATTTTCCAAAGCTGTTCGGAAAATCCCAGAGGCTCTTTTCCTAGAGACTCTGCTAAGCACCTGTAGGGCCTACAAGAGCACAGATCTGAGCACAGGGGCTGGGTGGGGACTGCTCCCTTCTGGGTGCTAGTCCTTCCAGAAAGAGCAAGCACTGCCTCAAAACTGGAAGCAAGAGATGGCTCAGAGGTTAAGAGCGCTGGATGCTTTTCCAGAGGTCCTGGGTTCAATTCCCAGTACCCACATGGTGGCTCACAACCATCTGTAATGAGATCTGATGCCCTCCCCTGGTGTGGTGTGCAGGCAAACATGCAGGTAGAACACTGTATAAATAATAAACAAACAAACAAACAAACAAATCTTAAAAAAAACAAATAAATAAAAATAAAAAAACTGGCACCAAAGGCCAAGAGACCAGAAAGAGATAGGAACCATGAGCATTACCTGTTAAAAATGTCATCGTCTTCTCCTCCCCAGCCCCAATAATTATTAGGAAATCCATTGATGGCAAGAAACTGTTGTTTACTGAGAGCAGAGACACCTCCAAAATACTGAACATACGGCAGGCTGGGGAAGAAACACATACACAGAGCCCCGTGGTTAGTAAGCTCTGATCCCAAGTAATGGCTGGAACACACCAACTTTTTCCTGTCCATTTGAGACAAGGGGCTGTGTATCCCTGGATGGCCTACAACTCACTATGTAGATCAGGCTGGCCTTGAACTCACTGAGATCTGCCCACTTCTCTCCCAGGTGCTAGGACTAAAAGCACCTGGCCACATGAATATTTTTGAAGTTTTTTTCTTAGACACTGGGAGAAAATCTCTGTTTAATTTGCTTCCCCGGCCCCACTTTAAAAGGCAGTTTACTTGCTCACCGTCTTTCCAAATCCAGCCCTGAACCAAAACGGTTCCTTTTGATGTTTAATTTGCTTTTATATCAGTGTTCAGATTATCTTAGAGACACACAGGTATGCAGAATCTTTCTTTCTAAGAGTACAGTACTGTACCTATGGTTACCTAGAAAACAGGTCAGTTACAGGGAGCCTAAGCAGTTCTTCTGCTGTGGCTCTGGAATCTGCTCTCTGTGTACCTAGTTCCTGCAAAGAAGTCCTCATTCAGGTGGCCCTGCCCACTCTCACACCATGCTTCTTTGTTCTTCTTGTCTGCTAATCTCTCTTTCTCCCAAAGGCCTAAGGGTTGAACACTAACCCTAACAATGGCAGCTACATCCCTGGAAACTGCCTCAAATTTTCTACCTTATCCGATTTAGTAAGATATGAAGCTACTTTTCCATATTTCCAAGTACTGGGACTGTGGGGGTCCACAGAGGCTGCCTAGTGAGACTTCACTCAGGGTCAGAGAATCTGAGCTTGTTTTACCCAGCAGGGCTGCATAATGGGATGATTTGGCCATGGGTGTAGTTACTAGGTGTTTTGAAGGGTCTGCACTTGGCTGTGCTTTTATTTTGAAAGGGGGAGGTCTTTTGCCTCTCTCCTTGGCATTGTATAAAGAGCCCTTTGGAATAAACCTCGAGGTGACTGGGTATTGAGCCAGTGCCCTCCCAAAGCCATCCTTTCTTATCATCTCCATCTATATTTCTATCTATCATTTCCTCATTCCTCTCTCCTCCCCGAAAGAACCCTTCACAGGTTGGAGCTGGACTCCGACAGATTCCCACACGGGACACTGGGAGCTCTTGTCCTTCTATACCCTTTTATATTTTAACATCTTGATGATTAGGAAGGATCGACTGCCCCAAAGGCAAAGGTCTGTCCAAGGGCCCTCAAAAGGCTTCAGTTTCCTGTTACCCTACGTACAGCTCCAAACAACACTTAGGTTCCTACTAGACTCCAAAGAGACTGAGAACCATCACATAAACTGAGGAAAACACCAGCCAAACCACACAGAACACACACAACTGAAGATCGGTAATGGTTCCTTGTCATTTGGGAGAAGAAGTCATTTGTGGACAAAGGGTCTCACTTTATATCCCAAGCTAGCCTTGAACTCACAATTCTCCTGCCTTACTTGGCCTCTCAAGTGCTAAGGTTGTGCCTGTGTGTGTGTGTGCTCACTCACTAAGTCACCCAGGAAATCTTTGGACAGATGACCCTCCCAACCTCAGTTTCCCAATTGTTACAATTACAGGGACAGAATACCTCACTGGCTCGGAAGAGTGGCTGTATTCACACAGAGGCTATTTACACAGGCCAAGTACACTTGGACCCAACCTAAACCCAGGTAGCTGCAGTACAGATTCCTGGAGCCTCAGGTTTACTTAAGGAAGGGAAAGATAATGCTTTTCAAATATGAGTAATTCAAAAACATTTCTATGCTTAATGCAAACAAGGATGTCAATTGTGAAACAAAAATGCACATTTATTTACTTACTGACTTTGATTTTTTTTATCCTTTGCCTGCGTGTATGTCTGTGAGGTTGTCAGACCCCTAGAACTGGATGGAGTTACAGGCAGTTGTGAGCTGCTATGTGGGTGCTGGGAATTGAAGCCGGATCCCCTAGAAGAGCAGCCAGTGCTCTTAACCGCTGAGCTATCTCTCTAGCCAGCCCTTCTCCCCCCTCCCCCCTTTTTTTTTAAAGGCAGGGTCTTACTATGAAGCTCTGGCTGTCCTAGAACTCAGTACGCAGCCAGGCTAGCCTTGAACTGTGGAGATCCACCTGTCTCCGCCTCTGGAGTGCTGGGATTCAAGGTATATACTTTATACACACATATACTATGCCTGGCCCTTTGACTTTTAAGACTAAACAATTGACTGTATGGCTATGTTCCACACGCGCCAGTAAGGTCTGGATCACACCGCTGCCCCTACGGACAGGAATGTTTGGCCTCTTCACTAGCACTCTGAGAGAAAAGTTCGAGCCTCGTGTTTGAGCAGAAGCCCGTGTTCTTCTTGGAAACAGAATCATATTTCTTTGACGATGCTGAGGGACATCTGCCAAGATACCCAATCTCTAGACTCAGTGTGTATTTTGAGGGTCCACTTTGCTTCCCAAAGGTGAGGAAAGCCAGGCTCTGTTGGGAGCCCAAATGTAAGAGCCATACCGAGCACTAAGACCTGTTATCAGGATACACAGTAACTAAAGACACTGCTGGATAAGTTCCTTCTCCAGCAATAAATGACTGCAGACTTTTAAAAAAGCAGCCATGTCTCAGAGGTAGCGTTCTCCTGCAGAGCCGAATAGCACTGTGGAAGAACGACATTCGCTAGACCACACCTAAAATGCAGCAGGTCCATGGCGGACTCTTGCTGAGAATGTCTTACCTAAACCCAAACTTGTCCATGGCAACAGAAATGTGCCGTGGCTGCGGAAAACACCTGTAGGCATTATGGTCGTCCATCGGAATGAGGTCCACATCACTGAACACGAAGCAGTTGTAGTCATAGTCCTTCAAGGCCTCTTGAAAGCCAATGTTGAGGAGCTTAGCTCGATTGAACATGGTGTCTCCAGCCTGGGGCAGAAACAAGAAGTAGGATCAGATGCCACAAGACCTTGGAAGGGAAAACTCAAAAGGATCAGTGACTTGTCTGCTACACATGGTCATTAGTTAACTGGCAGACTTCCTTTTTCTGCCCTTACTGCACAGATCAATCCTGAGTGTCAGCTCTCCGAGTCAACAATCCCATTTCCAGGAACCTGTTCGGGAGACGGGCTTACATGTGTGTGACAAACTGAATAATTTTGTCCACTGTGAAGTGTGCATCACAGCAGCGGATTGCAAACAGTTAGATAAGCATCCCTGGGGAACTGGTTCAACAAGTCATGCTCAGCCACATAATGGAACAGAGCTGCTAAAAAAAAAAAAACAAAAAAACAAAAAAAACAAAAAAAACAAGGGCCAGGTGTGGTGGCACACACCTGTAACCCAGTACCCAGGAGCTTGAAGGATGTAGATTGTGAGGCTGAGACCAGCCAGGGCTAAACAGAAAATTCCAGAGCAGCTTGGAATACAGTAAGACTGTTTTACTCTGTGTGTGTGTGTGTGTGTAAGAAAAGGTGAAAAGGCATTTAAACATATGTCAGATGTTATTTATATTATTACATTATTACAAATAGACTCCAGGAACGAAACACAGGAAATAGTGAAAATTAGGTGCCTCTTCACCTCCACTCTCTATTACAGCCTGACTGTCATATTTTTTAACTTCTACACAGCTATCAGATCATCAACTAGACGCTGCAGGGACATGGTGAGGCCCACTCAATCCTCGCCCTCATGATACCAACAGTGTATAGCAGGAAACAGTTGGATACACATGACAGAGTTAGAGCAAAGTGCCTGCTTAGGTCTAGCTGATGGGCCCAAGTCCTTCATATTTTCATGACTTACCTTGTTTATTTCCAGTATTATCCATGAAAATATAAGTGTGCTAAAGAACTTACACTTCTGCTTTTTATTCACCTAGTGCCCCACTGTCATAACATAAAAATGTAATAGTTGCTGTCAAGTTTGATGGAAGGATGGATGGATGGATAATGGATAGATGGATGGACGCACAGACGGATATGATGGATGGATAGATTAGATTGGACGGATGGAGAGACTGATAAACAAGTTTCAATGTACAAAGGCAGATGGTAGCTCTCTGTAGGTTCCTCCAGGGGTATCCGCTCTTACCAACTCCTGAGACTCAACGTTAGCAGGAATGGTCCCACATCGACCCTGCTGCCCTTTACACTCAGCAGCTTACAAACCCCTCCTGAACATGTGCTTTCATTCCAACCTCATAGGAGTGCCATGAAGCAGTGAAGGCCCCACACGTAGGAATCCTTGCTTACTAAGGCTCTTTTCCCTGAAACTCTTGGAATCAAGAGAAGGGGCCTCCACTCTGAGTATTACTGTCCCACAAGGGCCTGGAGTCCACAGGTGAAAACTCCTCTCCCCGTGCCTGGATGAAAACTTGGAAACAGGCTGCCCATCAGGTAGATAACACAGGAACAAACTACTTAGAGAAAGGCAGGTACCCGGAAGTCAGAACACAATGAATGAGTGAAGGAAGCACTCAGCACACAGAGCTCCTTTCTCCAGTCCTAACAAAGCCCTTCGACCGTGCATAACGAGAAAGCTGCGCCAGAGGAACGCCCTGTTCTTTGGTTGCTCTTCCACAGAGACTTGACTGGAAATTCTGGGCTCCATTAATTCCAGGTAAGCCAGGGGGCAAAAAGTCCAAACAGTAGAAACTGAATAGGAAAACTACGAAGTTATTGGAACTACTGTTATTGTGACAACACACTGCTAATGTCCATGGGGGATGGCATGTGCAAGGCACAGAGTAATTGTTTCTACCCTTGTGGTGCATGGCTTGATCATCCTGACCATCTTTTAACAACCTTTGTCCCAGCCCAAATTACACTCTGGAACACGCAGCTCCATGACCACTTTCCCAACAAGTGAAAGGGACGTATTCCCGAAGCCTCTAACCCCTCTACAGTATACTCTATGGGTATACTCCCATGATCTGGGTGTAGGTCCCTCGTGGTCTCCTCTGTACCACAGGACCTGCTGGCAATGACTGTTTGGTCTAAGCACGGCCTGAGACTAGCAGTGTAGACTTTCTAGGAGCTAAGAATTTGGAACCATAGGCCATAAACAATCGCAACGTGGAGAAGTCAGTCCCAGCAGACCTGCTTGGGCCCGTTTCCCTGAGGAGAGTGTGACAGACCTCCTTCAACTCAGAAGGGACCCTGGTGTCTGGACCACATTTAGAACTGGTCAGACAATTTTCTAAATAACCTGAACCACATTCTTCGTCCTATGCCTCCTTTCCAACTAGTGTGACCTATATGAACCAGGAAGAAAGGAAGTACATGGTACATGCTAGCAGGTGTGCTGTGGCCCACTAGGAACCTGAAACAGGAAGATGGGTAGAATATGTGTGTGTGTGTGTGTGTGTGTGTGTGTGTGTGTGTGTGTGTGTGTGTGTGTCTGTCTGTCTGTCTGTCTGTCTGTCTGTCTCTTCCTCTTCCTCTCTTGAGACTGCAGAAAAGTCAAGTATTTTCTGAGTTTCTTTTGGTAAAATGCTTACCTTTCTTGGTAAGAAAGACAGTGGCCAACCCAATTATCTCTTTCTTTCTTTCTCTCTCTCTCTCTCTCTCTCTCTCTCTCTCTCTCTCTCTCTCTCTCTCTCTTCTTCCTTCCTTCCTTTCCTCCCTCCTTTCTCTCTCTCTCTCTCTCTCTCTCTCTCTCTCTCTCTCTCTCTCTCTCTCTCTTTTTGCTTGTTTCTTTTGAGACAGGGTTTCTCCATGTAGTCCTGGCTGTTCTAGAACTTGCTCTGTAGACCACACTGGCCTCAAACTCACAGAGATCCACGTGCCTCTGCCTCCTGAGTGCTGGGATTAAAGGCCCATGCTATGACACTTCCGATTATCTTTTTCTAAACCTCACTCCACCTTCCCAGAGGTGTGAAGACCCTTCCCCCAAGCCTCATTCCCACCCCTCCTCCCACAAACCTTCTGCTACTTCATTCACTCAAGTGCAGATTTCTCAAGCACCTAATGGGCCGCACACACTTTCACTCCAGTCTCTCCACTTGTAGCTAAGTGAATGGGCAAATCCTACCTCTGGCCTCGGTTTCCTGCTTTGTCACACGGGGATGATACCAGGTGAGTTGTAATAAATAAAACAGGGCATGAAAGTACCTTACCTAGTGACAATTCAGCTACTACTCCAATTATGGAAACAGGTTTTTCATCCTTCTGCAACTATCAAAATGATTCTTGAGTCCTCTGGCTGTTTTCCAACACTCTATCTTCTCTAGTGCTTACATTCTGGCCTTTCTTACCAGCTTCAAGTGTCCTCCTCGGGGCTGGAGAGATGGCTCAGGGGTTAAAAGCACTGTCTGTTCTTCCAAAGGCCCTGAGTTTAATTCTCAGCAACCACATGGTGGCTCACAACCATCTGTAATAAGATCTGGTGCCCTCTGGACTGCAGGCAGACATGCAGACAGAAAACTGTATACATAATAAATAAATCTTTTTTTTTTTTTTAAAGGTCCTCCTCGATTCCTGCTTCTCTGACAGACAGGGAATTTCTAAAAAAGATTCAGCTTTAACTGAGTTAGCCTGTGGCTCAAATGATTAAGACTCCAGCAGCAGAAGAAAGTGAGACTCTTAGACCCAGGTAAAGTGTAGGGATGCACAGAGTCTGGGGAAGGGGAGCTCCCACCCAAGCAAGTTTCTCTTTAAAAAGTGACTTGGCTTTTTCTTTCTTTCTTTCTTTTCTTTTTCTTTTTTCTTTTCTTTTTTTTTTTGGTCTGTTTTGGTATTTTGAGACAGGATCTTACTGTGTAGACCCAGCTGGCCTCAAAATCACAGAGACTGAGTGTTGGGATTAAAGGCATGCCCCACCACCATGTCCAGCATGATTCAGTTTTTAAAAGTTGGCTTCTTCTCACATCTCACATTGGTAGACAAGACTTATAGTTACCCTTTCCTAATTAGAGGGAGAAACAGGAAGAAAGAAGAGAGGCTAAAAATAGCTCCAATCTCTAAATGACTGAGAAGCTGCAGATGAGAGCGGACTCTGGAGTGGGGGTGGGGGCGCGTGCAGCAAGGCATCAGATATATCTGTGAAGGCTGTGAGGAAATAGGAACATTTTCAAAATTACAAGAATTCAAAACAGAGACAGAGGTGGACCAGTTCACAGGCAGAGCGGAAAGTGGGCCCCTGCTGAGGTACTCGGAGGCTTTATCTTCATCTAGGCCACAGAGAGCCTTACACTGTGTTTCATCTATCGGGGGGATTTGTGTCTCCATCCAAGCAAAGGCAGGGAGACAGCCAGTTAGAAAGCTGTTTTGTGATTCATGCAAGACAGGCAAGCCTAGGAAGTAATTAACGGTGAGCAAGCTCTGACTGAATCCCTCGTCTCAGGGCTCCAGGCTGAGGCTCCATCCACTTCCTTCTCATGCCCAGTCCTTAAGTATGTCCACTCCTAAGAGTCCTTTGGGGGAGAGGCCAGGACAGGTACCAGAGTCGAGTCTAGTCTCCAGGAAAAACTTGAGGGCAGCTACGGAGGGCGAGAGTAGACATCCCTTGACTGCAACAAAGGCCAGAGGAGCAGCCACAGAAAGCCATGGTTCACCTTGTCCATGTCCCGACAGCCTCTAGACTATTCATTCTGTCCAACCGTCCTGCCTGCCAGGACTGCAGGCCCGGCCACGTGTGTCAGCAGCAGCTCTATCCTGAGACCTGCCTGGCCAGCACAAGACAGCTCAACAACCAAGTGTTCCCAAGATCCTCTACTATGAATCACCGTATCTGTGATGGGAGGGATTTGGTTGCTGTGGCCCCCTTACAGAGCCACGCCCACTCAGTGACCCCCAGCGCCAGCTGCAGGTCTGCAGCCAATGGCACTGGCACTTGCTGACCAAGCCCAGAGTGACTTTCCATGCTTCCTCAGATGCCAAGAAGATCTCAGCTGAGTGGGCTGTGAGGAGGCTCGGACAGCTTAG